GGTTAACGCCAACAGGTTGCCTTATGTCCTGTGATTCGATGTTACTGAGCTAGCAGTGGGTAAGCCGTAACCCTGATGGGCGGCCATTCTGGAATGGGTATACCTGAACTACATCATCAACTACCTGAACTACAGTCACTGTTTTTGGGCAAGAATGAACTCATCGAATTGCATCGGACTGGTGAACATCCTTTACCACAGTGTCTGAGTCTTTTCCCTTCCAGAAGCATAGGAAGAATTTTTCGTAGAGCGCGTACGGGTCGCACTATTCTGGAACAGCTCAGGGTCTTCGAATGTACGCCAATGCACTTTGTTAATTAGCAGTTTCGCGAACTAATTGGATGAAAGGTGCTAGGTTTTCAGTAAAGTATGACTGCTAGGAAAAAATCGAGTAAAAAAATTACCACCCACTCTCTTCCAGTTGGATCCAGTTTTGTAGGAGTAAATTTGACTTTTGCAGGTAGACAAGGTTTTTTTAAATTTAAAAGTTGCGGTGTGATTGTATGATTAATTGATTTCTGTCTGTTGTGGGGAAAAACAGCTGACATGATTCGAACAATTTACTTCTGGAAATGCAAAAAGTCGTCCTTGTTAGAGGAACCAGTAAAGTGGCGAATTTACTTACCGATTACCTACTCATGCAAGCAATTTCTGTGTTTCACATCAGAAAAACGATCTGCTTGGGTCGTGAGAATGCAAAACAGTCCCTCCCAATCTTATCTAGGTTTCCAACACTTTTTAGACTCCCAGTGTCTTTCTTTGAGGACCCATCTATGTATGGGCATTCCTAAGTTCAGCCAACTGCACCTGTATACGATGACTAGATCATTACCAGGTTTTCAGAAGCTTAATATTGCATTCCTGTCCACAATTGCAGACGTCTTCGAACAATCCCTAGAAACTTATCTTTCCTGTGGCAGAAACCGAGTTTCATAAAAAAAAAAAGTAAATATGAGTTGACCGAAGCCGAGTTGGACGAGTTTGATGTGGGGAAAAGACGAGATTCTGTCCGAAGGGCAATAGCTGAAGGCTGCAGGATACTGAACAAGTGCAACGCAGGTGCTGAACAGTCGACTTGCTTAAAATATCTTAGTTCCTGATAGTTATTAGAGCTCATGTGAATTCACTTCTTCAAAAGAACGATGTGTGCATGGCGCACTCCCAAAAACGTCTCTCCTGTCATTTTTCCTATCACCTGTATCACCTGTCGTCTCTTTGATCATCGACTTCCTCGAGCGGGCGCCAGTAACGTCTCCATTCGTCCCTGTCACGAGCCAGAGTGGTCCAGTGAATCGTTCTCGCTTCAGGGACACGAGGTTTAACATTCCTTTCGTTCAGAGCATTCGTGAAGAGGTCTGACCATCTCGTTGGCGGCCTTCCTGGAGTTCGTTTGATGTCCCGAGGGATCCAGTCTGTAACCGCCCTGGTCCAACGGTCATCACTATATCGCATAACGCATTTTTCCTATAATCATGAGTAAATATTGACTTTACTGTCAATCTATTGAAATATATTTCTCATTATAGTCGTCTGTTCACAGTTTTCCCCGTTATGAACCGAAAGGCAAAAAGATTGAATGCTGGGAAAATCCTAAATCACGTAAAGATTGTTTTGGTCTTATTTCCTCAGCTATATTGCCTTTCTGGTCTGCCTTCCGATTGCTCTGATTCGATTTGGTCGAAACAAGCAGCAAATTAAAAATCAGATGTGGATCAAGTTTAAAGCCTAGGCTAGGCAGTTTGAAGGTCTAATGCCTTCACCTGGTGTATAAGAAGGTTTTTTGCAGGAATGCCACTAAAAAACTCTTGAAAACCTATGCATTTCCAATGCAACTCCTAGTTTTTCATGCAGCTAAGCTGCTTGAACGAAATGGGTTTTTTTTCCGCACGTAGAGCTTGCTTCTAATTAGGTGACCGATTGGCTGTGCGTAAAGAGCCGGATCATCGGCTGGTCGGCGAATCCGAAACGAAATATTGCCAGAATCTATGAGAAGCGATAGAAGGTTGGCATCAGGACAGCTAATTAGCCTAATTTGTCAAAATGGCAACATCTTCCATCAGATTGAAAACCTCCTCTTTACATTCATCCGATTCCTAGAGCGAGCCTGATTAATCAACATGAAAACAGGTTCTTTGCGGCCATTCCTTCAAACGTCGAAGAGCAAAGGCTTCTTCTTAAACTTCCTTGGGTTTAGTTTTCTCAGTACATCAACTGTGAACTGAACCGACCTCGTCCCGTCTGTTTGCTACCCCTCTGGAGCTTTTAGTGAGTGCTTCTTTTCCTAAGAATCCACTCCAAGCCAAGCGTCGTGGCCGAGGTCCTGTAGGTATATTGGCTTATATTTGAGTAAGGCTATTCAGCAATAGTTACTGGTTCCACACCTCTCGTTCACTAATAAGGTGAATAAGCTCTCCTAGTAGCCAGCAAGAATCTGGAATTGTCCCTGCAACCAGTTAATACCAGGCTCGGTTTCTGCTCAGGCGAAAATGGCTCTCGTGACTTTTGGGAGAGTTTATGTAAACCTTCACTGTGATACCCTTGAAGGCCAGTTTACGAAAAGATGCTTCCTGAAATTTCCCTTAGGATAAATTCGAGTCCCCTCTTGATACCATATGCGCCGATGTCAGATCGAGAAACGTTTTGAATAGGGCACAATGCGGGGCCAGACATGTAGATGCCATGCCCACAGCGGACAAGTTTCACAGGCATTGTAGAGGCTGCACCGATCATAAGGGACTCCCTGTAGTAAGTTCAAACAACTCGCCTTGACCCATGGTGATAGTGGAAAGCAGTTCTAGACAATTTCGACTTGATGTAGTCAGCTCTTTGCACAATTGTAACAACTGAAATCTCGTCCGAACATCCCTTCCATGCCATTTTCGTCACGGTGATCTAGTACAACCTCAATTTCCACAATCTTTGGAAGGCAATCTCATAGGCGGATTTCCTCTCTTTCTTCAGCTCTACTCTGGCATCAACATCAACAATTCTACTTATATCTATTTGATGCAGTTGCTCCACTTCTTTTCTACCGTATACTTGTATCTGCAAGCGTACAAAGGCTGTTTTTGTCAAAAAGAGAACTTCTCTGAGACAGAACATGTCAGTGGATCGGTTTTTTTCAGCACTTATTATACCATGTACCGGCGAACGAAATAACTGAGGAATGTAGCACATCAAAGAACCTTGTAGAACCACATTGCATTAGCGCGTACACATCTACTTTTGACAAAAAATTGCATTCATACTTCTTCTGCTTTACTAGTTATCCATCGCTATGGATGAATAAGCTTGAGGGATCTTGGCATAATTAGGGGGTCTTCTGCAGGTGGTGACGGAATCCTGTTCAATTTTACGTAGGTGAAAGGTAGAAGCTGGAATTTTTCGGAGATCCTCATGGCTCATGACAAAATCCCATCCCACTCTTTCCTCTTGAGAAGGAAGAGGAAGGACTTTCCTGGAACGAATTAGTCTATGTTCGGGTGCACTTGGCTTTCATTCAAAAGCACGAGCTCGTAAATTCTGTGGGAAAATCAGTCGCTGGTTTGACAGCTGTACTTTGGCTTCATAATTCCTCGAATATGCATTTGTTTGTCGCACTAATTTTTGATCACTAATGAGTTAGTAAATATGCAGTTTCACAGTGTTCGATTGCTTTTAGAGTAAGTTATTTGCAGCAGAATTACTGCTTTTTTCGCTACTACGTAATCTCCACCCATTCTATTGGTAGTGTTCTAGGAATGCGTTGTAAACCAGTTATCCATCAAAGAAAGGGTTTTTGTGAAGTTCAGTAAGCCCTTTGTATTCAGGAAAATCGAACTTCGTGACACCATGTGTATCAGACAAACAAAAAAAGTAATGATCAAGTTTATAATGTCATCACTTTTTTAATGTGGTCAGCCGATTGTGTTTATGCTTGCTAACCGGAAACGATCACCGTCGAATGGACCACTCTGTTTTTGTTTCTAAATTATCCGGACGATAGCTGATTTATGGGATAAGGTTAAGGACTGAAGAAAACACACGTCTTTTATATGAACCACCAAGTTCCGATTCCATGCCTATAAAAGAAAGTGTCCGTAGCACTGAACACATAACGTTGCCAGAGTGAGACACCGAACTGTTCACTTTGTTTGGAGTAGGAGATCTTTCTATTGCACTCGGGAATGTGTCATTAGGCCAGAAACCATGTCGTAGTACATCGAAACTTCACCACCTACTGTGTCTATCTAGAGTTTCTTTGGTACCGTATGCCACTAAGTTTCACGGTAAAACTACTCGCCGTAATATCCGAAATTAATGTCAAACATTAAAGGCACAGTTCACGATAATTTGAGGTACTCTTGTTAAGTCGAAAAGCGGAAGCGCTGAAGTAGAGTAGTGCGGTGGTAAGCAAGGCTGGAAAATCCGCTTACTTTGCCAAAAATAAAGCTTTCTGATGGTAATGGTACGAGTTTACCATGATGAAAATGGCATGGAAGGAATATTCGGACGAGATTTCAGTTGTTGCAATTGCGCAAATAGCTAGCCACATCAAGCAAGAACTGTCTAAAACTAACTCTCCACGATGGCTATCGATATCTCGCCGTTTCACTGTCTGAGCGACTCCTTTACTCGACCGGTGCCACTGCAGTGCAAGCAGGGCCATAAAAAGTTTGTCTTCCCTCCTTTCTCTAACAACGTCAAGGGCAAGACGTAGGTTGTGTATTGTGATAAATACTTATTACTACTATTATTCTGTGACTTCATTGTGGTAACATCCGCTCTTATCATTTCATTTGTTGAACCTTTCTCCGTCATCACCGGAAACAATAAAACCACTGAACCATCCTCACAACTCTTTCCGAGAAAGGAGGGATCACAAGTCTCGTGTAATCATGGTTAGAGTCGTTACAGAAAGTATTGTGACTTGTCAGCTTATGAGTTACTTTATTCGACGAGAGTGAGGCAAAAAACGAGATCATGAAAGAGGCAGATGTGTAAGAATCGAAAGCCCAAGCTTAAGAGAGGATCACTGTCAACCCGACAAAGGCCAATGCGAGTGAGATCCAGAAAGCGTTCTCCGCATCGCCGATGTAGTTCAATCGAAGAAGATGTCGTCCACGGAGTCGTTTACCGTTTCTAACCGTCCAACCGATCCAGAAGTTCTGTTCGTCTGAATGCAGTTCGTGGTAGGACTCGAGCATTTTTGTCAGCTGTCCAACTCGATCCCAGTACCTGAACAAAGGAGCGTTGATGTTGAAGGTGTGCTTGTTTCTACTCAGAAGTATGGATTACAAACACGCCTAGTTAAAATTTCTATAGTAAGGTCCTCTTTCATTTCAGTGGGCGAGAATTCTTTAAGGATCAACGACGTATTTGGAACCTTACCAGAAGCGCACAAAAGCCTGAAGAGTGCAAAGAACGGACATTCAGTGAGACGCATAAATAACTAAGAAAATGTGAACAAGAACGAACTTTATGACTCCTGGACTTTATTTAGTCAATAGCTCGGAATAATCGACGTTTTTTGGGGCTCAGCTCACGATATATCTAAGGTGTCTAGTTTAATTGAAACAATAGATGGTATGGCGCAAAAAAGTGTAAAGATGGCACAGAGTGTGCGTAAATAGGCTTAATCTGGTAATATAAGACTGCAAAAAAGTAACAAAAAAGGGATTTGCACGAGAATGCCGTTTGTAACCATCTGGACGTCTCCTATGTAAGCTCAATATCTTAAAGTCGCACCGCATCCTTTCAAATCTGACCCATATATTGCGCGCTCTAATCAAATACTGAGTTTCTGTGCTGAGGGCGTGGCGAATGCAGCTTGTTTCTCGTGGATGAATTTCCACATACTTATCACGAAAATCCTCCTCCATTCAGTCCATATTCGACTTTATTGCAATGTTGGGCATGATTAGTTACGTCAGCTTCTCCTTCAGGTCAGTTGGGAGGGGGATAACTCAAACTGAATACCAAGAGCCAAGAAAGGAGAGCAATCACAGCACCTACCGATCGAGATTTCTTTCGAATCGTCGCATAGCTGGTAAGAGGGCTCCTTGGGCAATCTGTTCCACTGACATCTTCGCCGCTGCACCCAGATCGACGAGACGTTGTAGATTTGAACTCTGATCACCCTAAAATCCTAATCACTGTAGATGCTCAAGGGTGTTTCTATCGAGACTATGCTACAAACGTACACTTTCATTAGCAACCTTTATGGCTGAGGGACTTTTGAGAAATCCCTTTTGTCAACTGCCCTCATAATTCAGCGAGATGTAAGCCACATTCTTCAGAAAAAATGAAGAGGATATTTAGAGAAACACAAGGTTTTCAAAAATAAGTAAAATTATTGGCTTGACGAGAATAGGACGGCAAAAGTTGCACGCAAGGAATATGTATGTGCACGAGCTTTCTCCCAACTGTAAAGCCGGCATTAGTAAGCTGCCTTTGCACATTTTGGTGCGTCCCGGTGGCGGTGCCACCTTTACAGCCTCTACAATACCGTAAGAACTCGCCAGCGTGAGGAAGTGTACGTCGGCTAGGCCGCTTCCGAGGACCCTAATGCGCTTCATACATTTAGGCCATTTTCTACTAGACAGCGGCCCTTATACTATCCTTGGGGTCATAGGTTCATCCTAGGGAGGAATCTCAAGAACCATTTTTATCGTGAAATGTCCCTTCAAAAGGCAGCATTCGAAAGACTTGAGAAACATACTTGTAGATGAACTCCAAACAGAGGTACACCGAACAGCAACAATTCGTTGATAGTGTTGATCCCGCCATGGCAAATCAGATACTGCAAATTGGGATGAGCTGGAAAACAATCCTGTCAATCACGTATCAGCTCTTTTTCAGACCCCTTACTTTACCCTTACCTAGTATATGCTTAACTGGTACCCAATTACTAAGCAGTACATTCTTTGGTACAGAAATATTTCTAGCCCATAAAAGCGATTCGAAAGCGGAGTTAGTCTGCCAGATCACTGTGAATGACGATTGTGAGAAGGCCTCGAGGAATCTCTCGACTAATTCCATTGACATATATTGAGCCTGAACGAGATTAAAATGTTCTTCAAAAAGGTGAGTATAAAAGTATATGCCTATAGGGGTCAATCACCTCTGCCCAGAACCGCTTCAGCTAATCACCGTATCAGTAAAATGAGGGTAGGAAATAGTGCTAGCTCTGACTCCAAGTAAAGTGCATATCGCACTCAAAAAAGACAGACTTGGGGGATACTGAGGAGCCCATGAGGCAACCATACTTGGCCGTTTCAAAAGAAAGGGTGTTTTTCTTTTCACCCCAGGCTGTAGCAGCCTCCAGGAGTAGAAAACATTCAATGACCGGGTATGGTGACTTTGATTGGGATAGTCAATCATCCTCACCTGTGCAACGCTTCCAAAGCTGACCAGAATAAACGGCTTGGTTACCAGAGACGGCCAGTTTAACTGAGGGAACTCCTTTGAGATGGCGTTGAATCGTTTTGTCATCGGCTCACTGGCTATATTCTCATAAAGTCGAGGCCTCCTAGTGGCAGAAGATCGCTTGGCAGAAGGTTTCGAAGAACAGAAACAGCTAATAAAAGAAAGCGGCATGTTTGTCGAATTGCTCCGTGATAGACGGTCTAGGGAACTGTTCATGTAACGGATACCAGTACTGGAGGATTGAAAATTAGTGGTGCTAGTTCTTCTCGGACTTGCATGGGGCAATACTGTAACATAGTCCCTTGGATCCCTAAACATTGAAGTTTCTCAACACACATAATCATTCGGAAATGCTAGCGCGTAAAATCAATAGTCATGCTATAACACACACATCTTACTGACACCACCGAAGTGTTTTACACGATTGTTGATCGGTCGAACAACATCGAACAAGAACTCCGATCGACCAGCATATATCAGCCGTTCAGCCTCCGATCGGACAATCTCGACCTGGGACAAGCAAAAAGACTAATTTTGAAAGAAAATCAAACTAGAGTTATTCTGGTGGTAGGCAACATACCTGTGGAAATCCTTTCCTTGTAAACATGGAGTTCAAAACATAAATCTGAATGTATCTAGTAATAATAATGATAGAATGAAATAGGGTATTAATCAGTCGCTGGCCGAATGACATTCCGTGGCCACTGAATGGAGTTCCTGAAATAGGTGGTCCTCATTTGCTCAGTACTTGAGTTTGGGGTGTTACTAGGTCTAGAGAGACAATGGTCATATACAGGACGTAATTTCTGCTAATGGGGTTTTCCTTTCAACTTTTCTTTCCCATCAAAACATTCCGCATATGGAGTTGTAGGCCTTCTGTTAGAATTCATATGCCCAAATGGGGACTGCCTAAAAAGAACAGCGACATGAAAAAGTTCACCTCATCTACCTAGGGACCAAAATTTTTTGGAGGAAGGAACGTGTCTCGGAAGGGAGCTACTCCTCCCACACACAAAGCAGTGCTGAACAAGAACATTGGGCTGATCAGGAGCATATTTAATCAAATGGACTTGGAACTTCCGAAGTGCTCTTAGGAAAAACAAAACTTCGTGAGTTTGTTATATCAAAATGCTCCAGAACCTCCCATATTTTACTTGATTTGCTTCGAAAAAGCTAGTCGCGCTACCCTAGAGATGAAAGGCCGACAGACGCAGTCAGATTCAAATGCTGAGAACGGAGTTCTATCTCCCCTATACCTCGATATAATGTGAGAGAAAACCTGGAAGTTACGTTGCTTACCTGTTTTGGGCGTAGCACTCGGGTTTGCTGGCACGTTCAGCGATGTAATATAACCGTCAGCAATCGGCCAATTCGAATATTGTACTACAGATGAATTCAGAAGGAATGCCAGTCCACCCATGCATTCCTGAAAAATGTAGCTGGATTCACATAACTAATGGAGTCTCCACTGCACACAATAGAATCCACGAACGGATAAGCTGGGTCCGTAGAAACTTTTAGAGGGGTTGTGTATTCGAAAATTCTCGGAATTACAATACCTGTAGGAAATGATCCAACAGAACTACATCGGGTTTTTGTGTTCGTAGATACTGTAGAAAGCGTTGATCATCAAGCATACGTTCACAATGTGTTTGATGCCGTTCGAGCATTCTGAAGAAAAATTACGTCCGATTGGGTCTATTTGATGACAATCATGAATGCGCACGCGTCGCGGCTATCCATTCCTTCAATGATTTGAGAACGAATGCTGCAGGGTGGACGGGTACAAAGGGGGGATTGGAATACATACCGCTCAAGTGAAAGTAGAGGGTTCCGAACGGCTCAGTACTCCCATAAAAAATACATTTTGGGACTCCTTTCCTCCCTCTCCTCGTCAAAAACCTGTTTCTTTTGATATTTTCGAGTTTTCTATCCGAAAAAAAAGAATAATCACTCTTCTTCCCATGTCCTGAATCGTCTGATCACGAAATAAAACTTTTGGACACAGATTTTCCTTTGGTACCCGTCCGTACACACCGGTAGCTTGAGATTAACCATTCTATTCATTTATTTATTCAGTGAGCATATGTTCTCACTTGAAAAACATAAAACTGCCTCGTAAATCCCATAATCGATCGAAATCAGTCGGCACATTCTGTTCCCACAATAGGCTCCCTGCCGAACGCATTACATTGACGCCTGAAACATGATTGATGAACTGTGGGAACTCAAAGATAAAGGGCATACAGACTTTCATACAGAACACCTACCGCCATACCTAGGCCCTCTAAACTAATTTTTAGTTGAAAGCGATCCACTGAATATGGCGACACTGTCTAAACAGCGTCGCTTGTAGAGAAGCTCATGGGGCTAGTTGGGTAGCACTTGCTGACTGCTCTAGTGAGGTCCCTCTGATATCTGACGATACGGAAGGGTTATACTCGCCCTTGTGAGTATGTTGCCGAGCGGAATTTTCGCCAGTTGGTGTGGTTACCCCAAGCAAAGAAGAATTGAATAGTGCTTAGGGGAGAAGCTTCTACTGACTTTGGGACTAAATTCCTACCTGTTCGGCATCGGCTTGGGCTAACCAAGTAGTCCGCCCTTCCCAGGCCGCTTCTTTGTCAAAAGGCTTCTTTGATAAGCGTACAAAAATCTTGACGTTCAGTCGCTTAGTACATTGACTATTTACCACAAATCACTGAATAGACCACCTACTCTTTCGAAACATCACCATGGTCCTGAATGGAAGTCGAATGCACGGTGCATCCGAATGCCATTTGTTCAATCAAAATACTTTGATCTTTCATGGTGATGGATAAAAGCTTGCGATGTTCAGAGCGAAAGTGACTTCCCCATGACTTTTCCTTTCCTTAGCGAACCTTTCAGCGATTGAATCAACAAATCAAAATCGCTACAGAGACAACCACGCTCGAAGCTTGAACATGACCGTGACAATATAGGTTATTGCCGCCACGAGACGATTCTTTATTACAACGAACTGTAAGATCAGAACGAGAGAGAAACGTTGTGGTTTACAGCGCTATGCTAACGCCGCAACGCTGTTCGTCGTCCGTCAAAGAACCTTGGAAGATCGACATCATTTTATTGCAAATTGTTCTTGACATGAGGAAACTTAGAAAGCTAGACGGAAGTGTCAACCGAAAGTCTTTTTTGAAGGTACATGCAGGGTTCAGAAAAGCTGCATACACCACCAGAGATTCCCATAAATAGCCCGTCAGAGTGTTACCCTATCTGTAAAATCACCATTTATACCATCTGTCTGGCTATCCAGTCAATGAGAGGACTTCAGAAAGACTCTCCATACAGATAGGCAGGTTATGTTCATACAGAAGTTCATTAACGGCTATGATGATTGTTAGGCAATTGACTCCTATATAAAATTTCTTGCCATTTAGGCTCTGGCTTTAGTGGCTTTATTAACACCGTTGGTGATGTGACAAACAAACTCGTTTTTCAGGTCACGCCATGCATTCGCCTTTTAGTCAATTGATTTTGCTAGACCCAATTTGAAATGTCGCCCATCTAGTTCGTCACAAGATTCCAGAGTGTTCTCGGAGTGAAGAGCAAATGCGTGTCATAGTGACCTGAGTCCACTGCGCAATCCTCTACTTCAGCAGCCCATTCTTGGAAAACCTCAATAGTCGCTCGACTGTCGGTTTACTCTCTCTCTCCGAGCCAGGGATACTAGGCTCGCGAACACTGTGACTGTAGACGGCTGCCCCTCATCAACGTCACCCATGTTGTCCAAGCGGACGTAAGGAAAAACTGGAGGTTACTCACAAGGCAGCTGAGATTAGTGCAGCACTGGGTAGGTGCGGCCATTCCTGCCATTCCTATGATGTCCGACACCCTTCACAGTACTGCGTCTTCCATGGAAGGTACTTGCTAGGTGAACCCCATTCTGGGTGGCCGACAACCTACAACGCGGGTTTCCATTTCTCGGTCGTTTGACCTTTCTGTTAGGGCAGACATGTCAGAAGTTTTCAGTATCAACGATGTGCTTTCACTGCATTTTTTATCAATACGCGGCTAAGAGGGGTCACATTCAGGACACGAACCTACCCACGTTCTATTTCAAGCCAATCAAAAAGGACCAAGGTAGAGAAGTGATTGAAATTTCGCTCGACAGAGCAACAGTTTTCGGCGAAGAAAGCCTACAGTTGTAGGTGATCAGAGGCCAGTATAGAGTAATACCCCAATAGTTGTCGAGCGTCGAGCTTCCCNACCCCCCCCCCCCCCCCTCCCCTTCATCCAGAAGGAATTTCACATCCAGCCACCCTCCCTACAAGAGATAGAAGGCCTGGTGGATTCGGACCTACTCCAAATCGAGTTGATATTGATGGGTTATATGGATGACTTTCATTCAAGAAAACCCTGAAAATGGCTTTTAGCAAGTTTCGCAAGCGATCGTCATTCGCGCAAACACTGCAAAGGAAACTGATACCATAATAACCGCATTGCTTTAGACAGAAGGCCAGACTTACTTTCATTGTCGTGGCCCCATAAGCTGATACGAGTCCACTTCGATGGCAGGTCAATCTCACCGAAACCAAAATCGAAGATAAACGTTTGAATCCATGTGACATTTGCAGTCGGACCTAATGCCTCACCAACTTCTCGCATCATAACATCATGGCTATAGCAGCCAGTTGATGGGAATAAAGCCACCTTGAGAGCATTTGTCGTTCCGTAGCCTAGCAGTACGACAGCAGTGATGACGGCATACCAGAACATAGTGCTAGAGATCAACGATTGTAAATGGTGGTGATAGATGGCAAGGGCACCAACTGATGCAAGACGACACGAACGATGGTGATGGCGCGACGCCCCGTCATAGAGATTCGTCGGTAGAGAAAGGTAAATGAAGCGAATTAAAGCTGTCGCACGACCGGAAGATGCCAAACACTAGCGATGGCAATTGCCGCCTGGTCTATTTGAGTATTACTTTCTTTTCCTGACAACGAATCTTATCAAAACTAACAGCATCTTAATAGGCAATTATATGATGAAAGACAAAGTCTCTGGCGGTCAACAACCCTGCCTCTAGTGTGCGCCCTGCAATCCAATTCCGTCCATATTTTCGATGGAGTTCTGAATATGTATGAGACCTATGCAATGAATCACGGTGATCGGCTGATGTACAAGTCAGCGCTTTTATTCTCCCGAACGAGCCCGGTATCAGTTAACTGGCATGGAGGGATGAAAGGCTTGTCTAACCGCAGTACCAATGCAGGATCCCATCCCCGGACCTTCCACGTGTGTTAGTGCGCCACTTTCTACTACACTTCCGTCAGAGTAAAAAGGTAGAGTGGTCACATTTCCTTCAGCGATAACTAAGGATGGGCTCCTCGGACAATTACCTGCTCTTCTAGACAGACGTCTTCAGATCGCTTCAATGTAACTGGATACACTTAAAAAAGATTTTTGAAAACACCTTCCTTATTCACAGAGATCCTCGACGAAATACTAAACAAACGATTCACTAGTGATCACCAGAAGGAATTCAATGGATTCCATTGCATAATGCCTACGAACACTTAGTGCTTCTGTCCCGAACCGATTTTTGTTGACGGAACATTTATCTCGCCTGACAGTTCGCCGACAGATCGCCACCTTCAGAAGACCTTGGAGAACGCCAAAATTTTTTGGAATATTTTAAAAGAGTCAGGACCCGAACTCTGAGCTACTTACGTCGATTCCACCGACATGGGGCGCTACAATGCAATCCTCCAAGTTCCAGTCAAGGATTGGAAAAATTATTTTCTTCGGGGGCTGAATGGCCTAAAGAAGTTGGAGCATGCAATTCAATCTAAATCCAAACTATTAAAACAAACACTAGACAGATATGGATGTCAATAATACTAGCCTATTCAACCCTGTCCTCCCCCCCCCCCCCTACCCTCCTTTAGTGAACCATGCCAAAAATGTTAATACTGTCAGGCTCACTCGCAATGGTGCAACTGCAAAAAATTATTCTGTGTTACCAGATAAACCAGATAAAAGAAAAGAGGGGCCACTGAATGCCTTATCCAATGGAACTTAAATAATCTTCCATATACTAATAAAAAATCTACAAAAAGCCGTTTATCTTTTATACAACGACAGTGGACGGCAAATACTTCATATTCGATAACAAAAATAACCAGTATATGACCAGTAAGCACTGAGTACGGGAATTCGCATAACAAAAATCGAATAGGTATTTGAAAAAGAACTTCAAAATTAACCATCATGTACAAATACGTACACGTTCTCATCAATGATATATAACAGGAAATCGCTAACAACAAAAAGATCATTCATGCGTTATAACGAACCTTCTGCAGTTCGCCATGATTTGTGAGTTTCTCGTTCGCCTCTTCGATGCTGCTCACTGCAGCTTTACCTTGGCTCCTACAAAAACTCCTATACTTTGAAAATATGTATCAATGATAGTAATAAAAAACGTACGAGTTTGCAATAAAGATGTTGTGACCACGCTTGGCACAACGATCAGCAACAATTAGTGGCACAGGGACAGACACCGTGGATGTTACAATCTCGTGCAAATAACAAAGGCCATGAGTCATGGACTCGATGACATCAAGAGGAATATTTGAATCGTCCGCTAACAGGGAATACTTTGGTGTTTTTGCAGTTCCCTATAACTCTTAGATCATTTCATATATCTAGGAATGGCAATACAACACAACTGAACCTGGAAAGCTGAGTGAGCATTGAGGTAGAACTCGTTGATTACAGGCGAAACTATTTTGGTGTCAACTACGGTTCCAGGAGGGATGTTTTGGTCCGTAGCACGTTCTCCAACGATTTTCTGAACCATGAATGAAACTGACGGAAATGTTTCATAAAAACCACGCGATCAAAGAAGAGGCGTAAGACACACCGATTTGTACAAGCGCTCGTTATGGTCCTTCGAGACAGCAAGAGCTGTCACGTTTGGATTATATGCTTCCGAAAGAGATTTGATTCCAGTCCTGATTGCTCTTATGTACGTATCAGTTACCTGGAAAAGCAATTACCTCAACAACAATTTTATCAAATACCTCAAATGCAAAGACGCACGAGGCTGAATTGTCCTTCCGAAATGCCAGAGAAGTAGAGAACAATGTGACGAGGCGCACGAGAGGTAGCTGCTTTGAATTTTTTGAGAATCTCGACGATCAACTCACCAAGTGTTGCGCCCATCATCTGAAAAGATGCGATGGCAAAGGAATAAGGGAAAGGATTATCAATTGAACTTACGTCGGATTGGCGCGCTTTTATAAACTTATAATCACCAATATAATGTTGAGGGTTTGCTGCACAATTTGCTCCCCAACCAAGAACGGATGGCATCTGAAGAAATTGCGAAATTAAACGCACTCCGTCGTGTTCGATAGTAAACCAACCTTATATGTTGCACCTCGCTCAATCTCCACCTTTGAAAGCGCGGGAGGGTTGGAAATTTCGAATCCGACAAAAAGGCGCGCCTCATCATTTAACCATTTGCTGACTCTGAGTAAACGGTCAAAAGCCACAGAATGAAAAGAAAAAAACGTAAGAAGCAACTCACGGATCATCCATTTTCGGTCCTAGAGAAACAACATAGTTGACTCCTCCTAGTTTCATGTTGATCTAAACACATTCTCCTCTTTTCAAAGCATACACATGGGTGTGTGTGAAATTCACCTTTGCAATGACGTTGTCAAGGGTTTGGTTCTGATTTTTGAACATGACCGAATCAACCTTGCTTCCTTTTACTTCTTGAGATACAATTTGATATTCAACCTCGAGTAGTTTGATGTAGTCTGAAAGTAAATTTTACTCTATTTATAGATGTGGCCCTCTTTGTCTATTTCGCAGAAAATCGAACCAATAAACAGCAGATTCAAGCAAAGCTTCGCATGAAGTGATACTTCCCGTATGACTTCCCTAAATAAGACCCCATGCCTACAAACCAACTCCCACAAACAACTGAGGGGGGGGGGGGGGGGTATCGAATAGCTCAACATCTCGGCCAAAAAATCCTTTGGAACTCAATAGGTCCCCTCGCTGATCTGGCTAAGAGCCCTCCTAGGAGGTTCAAATACTAAAAATTCGTCACTGTTTCTGCGATACATGGTTCTTCCGGTTTTAGGGGCCAACTATAAGCCAAGCAAAAGCACTGCTACCACCTGACCATGCATCACACTCACCGTGCTGTTTTATGCTGTCCGAGGTTATGAACATCAGGTATTTCCTATCCTTCTGCTTCTGCGCAGCATAGAATTCCTAAACTTTCAGATGCAACGATCCTTACAAGAGGGAAGACAAAGGCATTTGCATTAAAAAAATGTTAACTAGCTGTCTCGTCTCTCCACGGTGAGCATTCCCACAGCACTCAAATAAGAAAATTTCAATGAAAGGTGAAATTGAACTTCTTCCAAAACGAGCACAAAATTATCTTGAAACGCTAGCAACAAGATCTCGCACACAAATAACTGATTTCATCCTTTGATGTATCAAGTCAACCACTGAATTAGCCTAGTTGAGAGAAATGAAATGTTAGAAAAATAGAACAGCAGTACCCGGAGGCCTTCGAAGGTCTGCTTTTTCAGATCGAAGATTTCGGCTGCCCGCTCGACCTGCATCCCTCTCAAGCGACATCGAGCCTCTACTCTCGCTATGTAATCCCTAAGCAGTATTGCGGATTCAAAGAACAAAAAGAAGTGCTAGAGATAAACAGAAAACTGACCCTATCTTCAAGCGGCGAGAATCGTTTTGCGTGAGAGTTGCACATACGGCCCAGTTGGTTAACTGAGCAGGTTCGATGAACTTCGATTGGTCCCCGTTCCATTTACACTTAAAGAGCAAGCATTCGCTCGAACTCAAGAAGAAGTTCTGTGACGCTTACATTATCCTTTGGCCTGATGCCTTGGTTCCCTCCATAGATTATCGTTGGCGCCGGCAGTACTCTTCCCGGTACCTGAATTAGATTCCCGATAAAACTGAACGGAATCGTTTTTAGTTAACCCATCAAAGCACTTTGGTGAACGAATCCTCGACGGAGATTCCTGCACTGGAAAGCTTCGCATTGCCTGAAGTGATACCCAGTGCGTCCTTCATGACTTTCGTTTGCTGAATACGAACGGCGGGCAACGTCGCTGATGCCTTGAATAGATAGCAATTCCAGAAGAGAAATGGCTCATTCGACCTTCACCACAGAGCTAATTCAACTCAGCATACCTTAATCATTGAAGCCACCTGGTCCGGGGTTTGCTGCTGAAGAGTTACTCGCTGGGATGGAGCTACCACGAGAAGCTCAACTGGGTAGTATGTACTTGGATTATGCCTTTCCGATACCGTAAATAATGTTGGATATCTGTAATTGTAATGACAAAGTTGTATAGGGAGAAAATAGCAATATACAAAGAACGAAACACTGCACATACTTCAACTGAATATTGTAGTGTTTTCTGAAGTACTGTTCTACTGTAACCTTCCCGCTTTCGGTTTCGAACCTGCAGAGCATTTATCTACAGTAACCCTGCCCAACTGCTCTCCGTAGCAAATCTTCAAAAATGCAACTAACGAGATTTGATTCGCGGGACTCGCGATATTTCCAATAGGGAAGCACTTCTTTTTTCCATACGTTGTTCTGACATAAAGACCTTAAAAAGTTTTCCACATGACGTCAATAATGACACTTGACCACTTAAACATACCTTTAATCAGTTGCAGGATGCTTTTCATATTGAACGGCTGCATAGCAGCTTGCACATTAAACGTCGACTGACCCCTTCGTTGGTCAAAGAAAATTGACATTTGTGAGATCTTTTCGAGAACACTTTGTTCGTCAATATGAAATGCCCCCTTCGTCACTGGAAACATTGTTTTTTTTTTTTCAAAACCAAATGAGCCACCCTTATTGCTCCGTTGAAACTAACACTTACCGTCGGTCACAACATAAGCACTTCCTTTCTTTCCATCTCCTTCTAGAACTTTCACAGATTTAGTTAGGCCAATGCCCATGTACTTCCCATCCATCAGACTTGGTAGTTCATTATCTCTAAATAGTAGCTACCTTATTACAGATTTCACCATTACTTCGTCTCTGCCCACCGTTGCTGTGATTAGAGAGCAGCTTCGGAGAACAATAAAGGACATTGTTAACTCGAGTGGTCCCGGTCTCTCAAATTAACGGAGGTTTTCAATCAGCATCCATATATAGAAGATTCTGTAGACATATGGACACTGATTTACAGTCAGCGGCGTTTCGAAGCCCCCCCCCCCCCTTTCCACCCGTCCATCAAATATGCTTTTGCCTCCCCTTTGCTACTTTGGAAAGTCATGCAGTTTGAATACGGCACTGCAAACTTTTGACAAGTTCAAAGTTAACGTCGATGTGGGATATGGCTGCTTACTAATACATGGGTACTGACAGACAGCTATGATAAAGAGGCTGAGCTGTGCACCATTGTCTGACACCAAAACTGCTCCATTCTATGAGCTGTCAGAAGACAAGACCTTAAAACCAGTCGGACCATACCGGAAAACAGCAAAGATTCGGATCAATTACTCCACCAAAGGTGTTTGAAGCCACAACAGGCTGGAAGTATAAATACTTCTACCAGAGACTGGTAAAATCAAATTGTTACCTGAATCCTAAGGCGCGATGATCGTACAAGTAGTGTACACCAGTTCCATACGTCACGAATTGGGACCTGTACGGATGCAAATGAAACCAATGAATATGTATAGGGCCATAATGAATATATACCGGTGCATTATAACTTTCTCGATAATACTTACGTTTCCAGGTAACCTTTCTGCGACAAAGCAAGATTCAGAACTTCCAACATTCCCTTGTCTCGTTCACAGTCGCGAATATTCACAGCTTTGTTCAAATCGTTCGACGTAACCTAGAGAATTATTTCCTTCTGGAAGCTAATCCACAGCCTTTACAAGAGTAACGACCATCCAAACAACTGACAAACCTGATACCCTTCCGTAACTTTTTTCAGAACCACACGAACTTCAACCGCGTCTTTTCCAGCTGCTGGCACCAGATTTGCAGTAGGTTTTATGCTCAATGTTTTTTCCTAAATTAACTCTTAAATAAAGTGTTCACTGTGAAATACACTCAAAGCTGAAATGTATACCTGTCCTCCAAGTTTCAATTCATTTTGAGCTGAAAAAAGAACGGCTGCCCGGTCATAAAAAAGTGCGCCGTCATTAGGAAATACGTCTTTGTAGTTCTTGCACATATACTTGAACACTCCTACAGAGGCAATTTTGCGCTCTTGTTCGGGAAAACTGAAATAGATTTATCACCTAGCGATCACTGCACGATCTACTAATCAAATCTATGAGTAATAAAAGGCATACTCGTCTTTCGTTTGTTTGGTTAGCTCTTTCAAATGTTCATGTCCGTCGTTACCCTTGTATACAATGTACATTCGCACATCGTACTTATAAAACGGTACATTAGGCTTCAAGTCTAAAAATTGAATTAAAGTCGGTAACGTCGATCTGCAAAAAAAATATAGCACGTACTTATATTTGTTAAGTTCGTGAGGTACTCTGTTTTGGTGCCGCGGCTTCCAGGATCTCTTTTCTCAGGTAAAGCTACAGTGCTTACCTAAATAAGATGAATTAGTTTTTCATAGGAACCGTACTCGTTCAACATCCTCCTTAGGCTGTCCACGCATGAGTCGTTTCTTCAAAGGAATACTCTAATTTCCAAACGCAACTGCTTTCAAATAAGACAGAAGCATTCACTTCGATTCCCTCCACTACGAGGGGAGTAGTTGCTCAATCGACCACACTTACAAGAGAAATAATTCCATTGGTCTTTTTCGATGTTAATGCTCATGCAGCAACCTCTAAGACTGGTACAGTTGTCAATGTAAACATTTCACCAATCAGAGGGGAGATTTCAAATTAAACCAATGAAGCGATTCTTCGAAGCCGGTCAATCGAATTCTGAGCTAGACAGCTCTCTCCTTTCTCTGCCCACGGAACTCTCACAGCGGGCAACTCTTTGTTTCACCCCCAGCTGTAGTAAGCCTCTTTTACAAGCCGTAATTCTGCCCGATTAGTAAAACTAGCTTCATCCTTATTGCATCTACGCCGAGTCGAGTTGTATGGCTATCACGTGGCGTCGTTACCTCTTCTTTGTCTACTCACTATTTGATTCAACGGCTGCCTCTAGTTTTTGTATTGCAGTCACCAGCACTGCCATGAATGCATACGCTGGGCGGATGAAAATGGATGAAATATTCGGCTCCGAAAGTGAATGTCACAATTTTGGATAACCAAGCGTGCATCAATCACCACTCGAAATGTTCCAAGGGAGAAATCTGTTTCAAGTACTAATAGGTGAATAGAATTCATCTGTTGAACTTCAGTAGGAATGGATGTAAACGAGCGAGACTGGCCAGTCCTCAATGCCCAAGATCATTCTGAGTTGAAAATGTAGTTAGGAGGTGGAGGAGGAGGAGGAGGAGCAGGGATGCAGTGTTTAGAGAAGACTCATTCACACTAAGTGTTTTACGCATATATCTGCGTAAAAATGCACCTATTACGACTGCACCTACTGCGCCCAGGTTCCTAGCTTGTATCCACCTGGCATGAAGGGGCTCCGGGACGGGTGAAATTCTTGCCTCGTTCGGAAAGGTGAAATGGGCGTAAGAGTTGAACATTCCCCCGACTCACCCGCCCTGATGCATCTACTCTCCTAGGACGTATTTGAAAAAAAAAAAACAAATTCTCTCGGTTGAGAAACGTCACTAAGTGCCATTGAGGACACACGAACTTGGCTAAACCTCTTTATTCGTCTGTCCTTCCCTCCATCCTCCCCTCAAACCACATTTTCAACTCAGCTGTTATTCGCGAGATCAACACAACCAACAAATGATGGGAGCCATGAATGTCGCTCCCCAAATGAAATACGAAAGTTAGGCAATACGCCTCTCAAGACCTTCTTCGCCTTCGTATGAGAGCAATTAAGAAGGCAACTGAGTTGTAGTTCCTTGACAATGGCCCACATTAATGGCTTATGGCTGTCTCTACTAGCTCAGTTCCAGCTCTCAAATAGCAGCTAAGTCTAACTTGTTAATGTTTTCAATTACTGACTCCTGATCGACTTTCTTCGCGATCTAACAGAAGTTCCAATACAGTACATTTACTGCTGGATACTGCAATTCAACACCTCCTTTGACGTTTATAAAAAAAANAAAAAAAACTTAGTTGTTTTCGAGTTTGAATAAAACTCACACTGAGTTGTTTCATGCCAGCGCCGAGCTGATCCGCCATTTTCCGAGTTGATGTTGCAGTTCCCTGCAAAGATCTATAAACTCTTAAAAAATCTCATTTACCATTTAGAGAATGCAAAGCACGATAAAATTGAAAAGTTGGAATCCAATTCGGTATTGAGGCCTCAGTGTAAGTGGATAGTACCCTGCCCGAAAACCTGCCACTTCATACGGGGAACAAGCAGAAAGTCAGCCTAGCGACTGTACCTACAGGCCCAAAACGTTGGAAAGAAAAAACGAAAAGAAAATGTTAGGGAACAGCAAAAACAGAGCCCAGGGAAGGACAGCACACAGTAACGACTGTAGTATCGACTGATCATGGGACTAGAGAGTGCCACGTGGCACACGTGTCCGCTGGACATCGACTGTAGGTCATGACACGATACCTGAGGTACTGTAGCAAATATTACAGCGCTGAAGCGGTTTAACCAGAGGAGTGTTACTAGGGATTCGGTGGTGCGGATTCAGTGATGAAATGCAGTCTTAGGAGTCAAGCCCTGACCGAGCATGCTGGTGAGATCGCATGGACGGATTGATCCCAAGCGTGAGTGGCTTTCTTTATTACTTATTCCCAAGATGACACAGTGAATTAATGAAAAAGGAGTGGAGTTTTTAGCCGTGACCACTTCTTTTTGGAATGCACCCATGTCTTCGAACTCCATCAGAATCCGTGACAGTTGGTGTGTCTCCGTCCGGTACAGAAACTTATTGGAGCCAACCAAGACAGTGCTTTTATCCTCCCAGACGAGTCTGTTACGGATAAACAGATCCCAGGTTATGAAAAACTTGGTTGGCTTAATAGACTTGATTCAGACGACTTATTCAGAGCTTTTTTAAGGTTGTCGAGGAAATGTGACATATGGCTCCATACTGATCGTGGCTGCACAACTCGTCCCAATCGCTACTGCCCATTACAAGTAACTACACCGGAATATTCATTGTGAGACAGTCCATTGTAGTAAGTGAAGTAATTACTTGTATGGAAATGTTCATTACGGAGAGGACAAATAGGCAAGACAAGTGGGAGGAAAAATCCATCAAATTGAATGTATGATGAAATGGCGCCGTAAAAATTTATTCGCACATCGAATATGAGCAATGTTCGGGAATGTTTGTATCGTTCATTGAGATTATACCGGGAAAGATGATATGCAATTTCTCCCTGACAAACAATTCTTATCGGGCAGCCTCCTTTTCAGTTTCTCACAAGTTTTTCTTTTTTTTTTTGCTCTCTTTCACCTTTTCCTTTCCTCGTTCGACAAACAATCCAAACAATGTAAACAACTCTGAGAAGTTCGTAGGTTGAACTCGATCTGCCGTTCAGTAGGTATCTGTCTGGGATTGATAACCACATGCGATCTTCGATGTATCTCGACCGAGAAGAACAGTTGTATACATTTTGTACTGGCTCGCGACAGGGACGAATGAGATGAACTGGCACCAATCGAGCAAATCAATGATCAAGGGGACAACAGGTGACATGTAGTCGTTCATATAAACTAAAATTTCCGCAAAAAAAAAACTCGTCTGACAGTTTCCATTCTTCTTATACATAGAGTGGTAACTTGGGGTCGATTTGTGGTTTGTATGGCTATCCGTCTGTGTATTCGCAAGACTTCTCATGATTACGATAATATCAGTTATAAAAAAGCCACTGACTACTGAAGTAGGGACACTTATGAGGAAGCTCAGGAGGAAGTTCATGATAGCACTTATGGCAACTACAGATCATGACCGTGGCATGTACTTCACCGCAGTAGTGTCGATCAACTGATAGCAGTTCTAAGTCCTCTAATAGGAAAGCCACTACATTAAATTGCTAGGGGAACATGTAACAGAAAGCGAAGAGAACTCAGGGTGCTAAGTGGGTTTATCATTAATACTGACATAACACACTTCATTACTATGGCCTCTTTCATAGTCCGCGATTTGGCCCGCGAGCGAGCGATCGAGCGGTTGGGGCGACGCTTAGCCCTCGTTTACAAATAAATCTTGGTCGATGCGCGGGCAAACGCCGCCCTAATCGCACGATCGATCGGTCGCTCGGTCGCTCGCAGGCCAAATCGTGGACTATGAAAGCAGCCTATAATATCAGTTAATGCTGATGATAATCAACGACCTTTCTACCGTTCATGAAGTACTGTGAAACGTAAATTAGAAGCATATTTACGGGATGCCTTCAAAACAACAAGATAAATGGCATTAGTCAGTCTTATTTGCTCATCTGCTCTCAGTGTGTCACAGTGGGTTTCGGCCACGTGTAGAGCAACTAATTTAATGTAAGCAGGAAAGGAAAAAACACAATCAATCCCATTGCGTGTGCGCCACATAAACAACTTCCATTCAGTAACGTAGTGGCCCTTTGAATGCATGCGTGACCTATACAATGACTTGAAGTGGTCCGTAGGATAAGACAGTGTTTGTGTTCTCCCAGATGAAAACGTTAAACTAGCCGACTCCAATGGGATGAAAAGCTTGTTGAGGTCTGGCCACAGCAAGCTTCTCATCCCTTTGGTTGGATGGGCTAGGTGATAACAGATTCATCTGGAAGGATAGAAGCACTGACTAGTCCACCGGCTGACCACTACAAGTCATTGCTTAAGCCACATGCGCATTTACATCACCTACAATTCTGAATGGAAGTTCATGTGAGGGCGCATACCCAATTAAGACCAGTCTAGGCGGGTATCAATCCAGAATGCGTTTCGCGGAGAGGTGTGCGATATTTCGCCAGTTGCCATTACATCCAACCAATGTAACTACAGCAGCAAATCCGGCTTGACACTTATCATCAAAGCACTGAAGTGGAATTAAAGATAAAAAAAGAGTTCGAAAAGCGAAAAATTATGTGGAGATACATGAATTGAGCACCTGGCACTAAATCGAACGATTTCAACATTCAACAAGGAATTTTAACTACCCATTAGTATAATCAATCGAAAGGGAAGGAAATGTTGAAGCATGGTAGGATGAGTCATCGGAGCTGCGACAGTTCTTTCTTGCTCTATCGCACGAACCATCTGCCAAGCGCTTTCAACGTCGGCCTGACTTGCTACATTACACTGTAAACAATCCCTGTGTGACCTCTTCTGTTGGAGGAATTCAATCGTAATACTGTATAAGGCATAACTCAAGCTCACCTCAGCAGACATACTATGATGCAACGTATGGCACCTGGTCGCCTGTCAGACTCTGACGATAAGGTTGCCAGATCCTTTCCTACCCAGATCCAATCCCTATCTCATGTTCATACACTTCACCACATAAGATAGTAGCTTACAAATGTGAGAACATAAGGGCCGACTCCCACTTACTTCCATTCCCACTCGGTCGGTCCCACCTACTGCGCATTCGCGAATCGTAGAAATAGCTAAAAAGACGTTCAGTATAGAGATTCCCCATTTGGTTTTTTATCGGATATTTCTTCACTTATGTATGAAAAACCAATGGTTCATTGTAATAGAAGCGGAATCCGATTTCTTCCCATATTCCCATCACTGGTCACTTATATAATGTAAATATACCATGTTGTTATACATTTTGTAACTAGTGGTACTGGTGAAGAGCCACATGGGTGAAAATGGAATTGAGGGTAGAGGGGTGGACACAGCTTTTTTTTACCTTAAGCGCCAGAGCACAGTGGAGGGGTAGCCGATATTGCGAGCCCCATTATGGTGCTTAGGAATGCTTTCTTAGCCGAGAAAGTAAATGACTTTTTTCCAAACCAGCCTTAGCACGGGAGGGAGGAGCACTGGGTGGGTGGGATGATTACGTCGTGGAAAAAAAAAACGGGATAGAGCAATCAATTCACTCACCATGGGCCGTTAGGCAGTACAAGTAATCGGCAAACCGGCTGACCCTCCTTACTTTAGCGCCCTCTAATGCTCACCAGTCAGTGTCGGATCAGACCTTCCCTACCGAATAAATTTTCACCGAGCTATGAAATTCGTTCTCTACTGAACCTTCCTGCCTTCTGCCGATCAAGGAGAACTTGAAAAAATTGTAGGGAAGGAACAGGAGATGGAGAGGAAAAGAAGTCATAGACCAGGAAAAAAANAAAAAAATATCCCAAAGAGAGTGGCAGAAGGACACCAGATTCAAAAAAAAAAGAGTGACTAAGAGCGTTGATGGTAGAAAGAAAATGGGGAAAGCTTGAAAGAAAGAAGATAATTGTGACAGGAGCACAAGTAGGAGAAGATGAATGAACAGAGAGTGCCCAAAGCTGTTAGAAATAAATGTGGGGGCCACGTGGGAAGCTGAATCAATCGAATCGATCATTATTCATGATTTGAATAACTTACTAGAAATAGCTCCTTCGATGAAAAAAAGCAGACCGACCGATAGCCACAGAAAAACAAAGTGAAGCTCACTGCCCCGTCTTTCGAGTGAAGCTTCTTCAAAGAAAGAACCACATTGGAAGAGGCAGCAACAAAGAAGCGGCTTCCCGGCCGTTGTACGACGACGCAAAATGCTCCTGCCAACCCTTCCGAACGGCTGACTACTCGATTCAAACCATGAGACACCGCCCAACCATTTTTTCAGAAGAGTTCGTGGATAAACTAACTGAGAAAGACGGCTGAAACCCATTTGCTGGCTATTACTCGAATAAATGCTCAGTTTATTCTGAGAAAGCAAACCAATCAATGAAAAACACACTACTTTGAGCACAGTTGTGTTGGTGGGACAAAAATATTAAAATAATCGACAAATAACGAACTAGTAAACAAATCAGTAAATCAACAAAAAAGGAAAAACAGCTGTTTAAAGGGGGTTGCATTGGAGCGAGAAATTCACATTGGAGCGTGAAAGGGAACCATTAGTAAAGAAACTCTTCAAAGAGCTCCCTGGATGTAGTTTGGAGGCAGAAATATTTGGGGATTCTTCGCTGTGAACCCCATTCATTGATTGGTTCTGACTGTGAAGTGCTCATAGGGCACCTTAAAGACGACTTCAAGGGATGGACTCGAACCTGAAACGTTCCGAAAAGTTTGACGGTGTCGATGGCCCATATGGGCGATTTCAACCACTCGACTAACAACTGCTAATAATGAGGTATTTCTTGATTTGTAGTGCTGAACGACCGACTTCGTGATGTCTTCTGTTCCCAGTTTCGTCCATCTTTTCATTGTCTGTTAGAACTTCATAATGGGAACCACTTCCTGAGAAATTCTTTTGGAAAGTCTATAGACTGCATTCCGAGTCGCGGGAACTTTATGATTTGCTCTATGGAATGTTTGATGGGCTTGGAAATTTGTGTTTGTTGTTTGCTGTGAGACCCAGAGTTAAGCATATTGCTCGTTCCCTACTAATGCCACCATTCATCACTATTCCGACTTTTTTTGGAGCTTATCAAGTTATAGGTTCGCGATTCTTATACTTGAATGTGTAGCGGACTTAGGGATGCTTCTGTAGAGAAGAATATGTTTCTATATAAGTTTATTGTACAAATAAGTTACGAAGGCTGAATACAAGAGAAGGACAGGAGGAGAGGACAAGACGAGAGGGCAGGTAGTAGCCTTGACGAAGGGTCGGGGTTAGCCTGGAGGCTATGGTGACATCCGAGACCTCGACTCCATGAGGCGGCTCCTTTTATACTGTGTCTACTGATGAATGGCATGACAGCTTTCTCGTAGGTGTTGTGGCGAGGCTGATCAAATCCTGGCGGCTGGCTCGAGCCTACGCATGTCTCGGCACGGCTCTCTCGAGCTGACGCATGACTTGACATAGTTGACGTATGACTCGGACCACTAGCCTTTTGTGAGGGTAGCCTGTATCAACATCTTGTCTCGTTTGGCGTTTGGCACTTCAATTTTCTCGCAAATTTTTGTTGACTCATAATTCTCCTCTATGTCTGCA